AACACTCATAATGATCAACCTTACGTAGATCCCATTGTATTCCGGAAGCCCGAAGCATTGGTCCTGATAAACCCCAATTTATTACTTCCTCTCCACCAACAATGCCTACTCCCTCAACCCGTTCTAAAAAAATGGGATTTCGCGTAATAAGTTTTTGATATTCAACAACTCCTGTTAAAAAATAATCGCAGAAATCCAAACATTTATCTATCCAACCATGAGGTAGATCAGCCGCTACCCCTCCGATACGAAAATAATTATGCATCATTCTCATACCTGTCGCAGCTTCGAATAGATCATAGATTAATTCTCTTTCTCTGAAAATATAAAAGAAAGGCGTTTGTGCACCAATATCTGCCATAAAAGGTCCCAGCCATAGTAGGTGAGAAGCTATACGACTCAACTCCAACATAATTACTCGAATATAGCTGGCTCTTTTAGGTACTTGAATATTTCCTAACTGTTCCGGTCCATTTACGGTTATTGCTTCTGTGAACATAGTAGCTAAATAATCCCAACGTGTTACATAAGGCAAATATTGTACGATTGTTCGGTTTTCCGCAATTTTTTCCATCCCTCTATGTAAATAACCCAATATTGGTTCACAATCAATAACATCCTCACCATCTAGAGTAACAATGAGTCGAAGAACACCATGCATTGATGGGTGGTGAGGACCCATATTGACTATCATGAGGTCTTTTCTTGTAGCTGGGGCATTCATAGGTTTTTCCTCGATTCATTCTTCCATGAATTGCTTAAAATCAAAATTAGTTCATCAAAATTCAAGATCTAATAAATCGAATAATTCAAAATGACTCTTCAAATTAATGAGTTTGTGACTCCCGAATATCCAACTGATTTATTAATTTTTTATAACGTATTACATTTTTTTTTGACAAATAAGACAGGAGTCGTTGCCGTTTTCCCAGAATTTTACGTAAACCCCTTTGAGATAAATAGTCTTTTCTGTGCAATTCCAAATGTGAAGTAAGTCTTCGTATCTTATTGGTGAAATTGAATACTTGAAATTCAATCGACCCCCGGTTTTCTTTTTTTTTTTCTTGTGAAATAACTGGTATAAATGCATTTTTTACCATAAAATGAAAGCTTCTCTTTCCCCCCCCTTTTTATAGATTCTAGATATTTTTATTGATCAGTAATAATAATGACACTCATTTTCAATTTGGTATATACAATAATCTTAATTTTATTAAGAATTCCTAATTTTTCGTTTGTGAATACAAAAATATAGTATTTTTTGTATTCACAAACGAAAAATTGTAGACTTCAAATAAGAAGATTTTGTGGATTCAATTATAAATCTTATGGATATGGATATATCATTGAATTAGTATCATGCCTCAGAATAGAAGGTAAGACAATGCGTGTATGCATCTATTTGTCTTTGCATACCAGATATGTTATGGGAAATAGAAAAAAGAAAAATGTAGATTAATGAACTTTCAATGGCGGATACATATGTATCCTTACCATACTGAAACGGCTGCCATTATTGGTATCAAACCAATAGCGATTCATACAAGCTAAATCTTCTAATCGATAATTTGGCCAAAGAAATAACTTTAAATTAATTCGTTTTTTTTTATCTCTATCAAGATCTTTACTTGTAGCCAAAACTTGATAGCAATTATTCACTTTATTCTCATTGTAAAATGCCGTATTTCTATTCATATTATTTCTATTTCTAGGATTGAAACAAATTAGAATTCTCAATTGTCTACGACGTCTAGCGGATAAAATATTTTCAGGAACAAGTAAATCATAATGATTTTTTTCTTTATTTTCAGTCAGCTTTTGATCTCTTGTTCTTGTAATGGATTTATCAAAATTCTTCTTATCAACATAGCTTTTTTCTCGGTATCTTTGATTAATTTGGTGCTTTCTCTTATGAATCAACGAAAGGCCTATGGTTTGATACATAAGAGATTGTTCATGGTTTTTTCTAGACAGACGAATTGGTTCAATACTCAATATTCCCTTTTTCATTAATTTCATTAATTCTGTATTTTTATTCAATTCTGTAAGAGTGAAATCCTTCTGATTCTGAATTTTCATAATATCTAGACTTAGTTCTCCTCTTTGAATAGAGGCTATAGCAATTTCTTTTAGATTTATCAGTCTAAGCAGGAGACAATATACGTTGATATTATTCATTATTCTTTCATTTAAGCAATCACGCGAGTTCAATTGAAAAAGCAAATATCTTCTTAGGAAGCAATTAAGTTCTGCTTCGATGTTGTTCTTGTATTTTTTTTTTTTTACACCCTTTTTCATGCCCGATCCTGTATAATTTTCTTCAACATCTTTTTCTTTCTTTGAGAAAGATGCTTCAAGATTTACTCGACCCGCGTATTCTGTTGTTTCTTGATTTTGAGCCTTTAACTCTAATTCAAGAGATTTGTTATTTGTCGATGGTCTAAAAATATCTATTTTTTTCTTTTCAGTGATGTTTTTATTTTCACTAACATTTTTATTTTTATTTACATTAAAATTGAAAAAAAGTAATTTTATTGGTATGATCCATGGATTACTTGTATAGGCATTATAAAATCGAAAATTTTTAGAGAAGAAAAAAAATTCCCGATTCGCTATGGAACGATTTAGTATTTCTACATTCATTCCCATCCAATCAAAAAAGATTTTTTTTTGATTGGATGGGTTGATTTCTTGATGAAGTGTAAAATAATAATCGGTATCGATCCGAGACCCCAAATCCACTTTATTTCTTAGACAAAAATTCAGAATTCTCCAATCAAAATACTTTCTATCCAGATTTTTTTCCATATCTAGAATAGAATCTTCTACTATATAATTCTTGATAGGAATATCATCCGTCATATCAAATAATTTTTTTTTACGCGTGTTGGAATTATAAGAAATCGCTTGGTTATTATTTGCTTGGAATAGCCATCTATATCCATAAATATATGAGTCCTTCTTATCTGCATAATTAATAGATTTATATGATAAAAGATCATACCCATATTGTTTTTTCATTTTTTTTGTATTTATTAATGAGTCTACTTCTTGTTTTTTGTAAAGAATTAATCTCTTTTTTTCATATGAATGACATTTTGTTAAATCTTTATTTTGAGCCACACGACTTTCATTCATTCTATTTCGCCATTTTTGTGGGACTAATCTAGACCATCCACTTTGAGATAAATCGTATTGATAATGACCCTTTAACCAATTTGTCCATTGATTCATTACAGAATTGGGAGGATTCTGATGTTTTAATTTGGAATGAGATATTCCTTGTATTCCAAAAAAAAAATCCTTTATTTCATTCTTAAGAAAAAGGGGTGTTCCATGATATTCAAAAACAGATCTTAATTTATACTTATATAAGTTAATAACTTGAGTTTGTGATAATTTGTAAAATACATATGCTTGTGACAAAGAGGATACGTCACAAAAATTCTGTGAAGTCATATTACTAATATTACAAATTGAGTTTTTTATCGTAGAAATAAAGTGAGTTAGACTCTTATTTTTTTTATCAACTCTTTCTTCATTTGCTTTATTATTGGAAATGGATTTATTAAGAATTTTTTTTGTTGATTCAAGAAAAAGTTGTACATTGATCCTAGGAATATTAATGATACATAGAAAGATATCTATGTATACCCTTTCTATGAAAAATTTTAAATAATAATGTGATTTACGGGCTAATCGAACATTTCTTCTTTGTAATATCTGCCAAATATTTTTTTCTAATTCAAATCTTTTATCATCATAAGTAGTTTTCTTAGAACAAATATTTCTCTCTGAAATTAGAAACCCCCTTTTCTTCTCTTTTGTAAATTTTTCTATTTGTTTTATGATTGTCTTTGTTCTATCATTCAGATCTTTTATTTTTTTTTCTGTCAATGAACAATTTGTCCAATTAATAGATTGAATTGGATTAATAGATTGAATTGGAATGGCTGATTCATAAATCATTGGATTACTGTTACTGATTGTTGAATCTTTTTGAATTTCATTGAATTTATATATTTTTCTCAATCTAAATATAAATAAAAAATGGAATAGTGATAGTTTTTTTATTTTTTCTTTTAGAAATAGAATCCTTTTGAGAATACTTTTGATGATCCATTGTGTTCTTTCTTTTGAGACATTTAGAAAAAATTGGATTCTTTCGTTTAAAACTTTTTGAACTAGAAAGAATTTCTTTTTCCAATTTTTCATTTTTTTTTTAAGTTCTTTAAAAATGGGATCAAAAAAAGAAAGTAGGTTTAGGGGAGAAGAAGAAAAGGGCAATTCTACTTCCATTCCGAAAACTGTTAAAAAGCAAAAATTCATTTTTTTCACTTTTTTTTTTTTCATTGTATCCTTTTGAGGGGATCGTAGCTTAGATCTGTGCCAAGGTTTCAGACGAAAAGGAAAAAGGATCTTTATTTGAATACCCTCGGTTAGCCAGTTTTTCGGAAATTCTGTTTCGGATAATTGAACACCATTATAAGTGCATTTAATATACATTTCTCTATTCCAATCCTTTAAATCCTCTGACCATTCGGGAATTTGAAATAATAGTATACGAACGATATTTTTAGTGAGTATCAATGAAGGTAAGAGAATATATTTTCTAATAATCGATTGGATTATTAATAAAAAACCTCTTATTGCTTGAGCATATATAATGCTATCCCAGGCTTCGGCTATTTCTATACGTTTTTCTTCCTCTTTTGTCTTACTTTCTTTTGTCTTTTCTTCTTTTGTCTTTTCTTCTGTATAATCCGAAATTTTCAATTCTGTATTTTTCCACATCCAATTCTTAAAAAGAAATAAAATTCTCATTGGCTCGAAAATATCAAAAGAAAAGAAAGAGGGTTTGTCAATTTTGTCCAAAAAAAGGGGGGAATGCGCGCTTGCTTGAAAGAGTTTCCAAATAACAGTTTTACGTCTTTGATCGCGTCTAGATCCTTTGATTATGTCTCGCCGAAAATCCGGTTGTTGTGAATAATGTATTAAAG